TATGATTATATATATATGATTATATGATAATATATATATATATATATTATGCTGTGATTATATATTATATATGGTTATATATGATTAGATATGGTTTTGTATGATTATACATGATTACATATGATTATACATGATTACATATGATTATACATGATTACATATGATTATACATGATTATATATGATTATATGTGATTATACATGATTATATATCATTATGCATGATTATATATGATTTTATATGATTATATTTGATTTTATATGAATATATATGATTATGTATGAATATATATGATTATATATGATTTTATATGAATATATTTGGTTATATACGATTATATTTGTTTATATATGTTTATGTATATGTTTATATATGAAAATATATGATTATGTGTGATGATATATGTTTATATGATTATAATTGATGATATATGATTATATGACTATAGCCGTTTGGATATGATTATACATGGTTAGATATGATTACATATGATTATATATGTTTATAATATGATTATAGATGATTATACATGGCTATGATTATTATTTAATGATGCTCCCATCTGGATTTCTGGACATTTGGGGGTCCATTTAAGTCAAACGTTCTATCGGTGGTCCATTCAGGTACTGCTTGCACAGGCCTTGCATAGTGCACAGGCCTTGCATAGACCTTGCATATGTTTCTGACATGTCCCCGGAAATGTTGTTTTTACAGATTCACAATGGTTGACGTTGACGTGTACTGTCATTCAATCTTGGTAAATCTTGGTAAGGATGACGAAATGACTAAATAATACTAATAATGATACTAAATCCATCTAAATCCCTCATGTTTCATGGCTATCTCAGACATTTTTCACCATTTTTCATGGCTCAATCCCCCTCTGGGACCGTTCTTTTTGAGCGGCGTGTGCCAGGTATCTACGAAGGAAAAAAAGATGCGGAGCGTTGCAGCCCCATTGTTTGGAAGTAAAAATCAATGGGGGAATCATCTAGAGATAATATGACATATAATTCAGATTAGTTCATATGGGTGCAATGATGGTTCATTCTGATTGCAAATCTACATCATGAATCATCATGATAGTAAGATTGTATGTATGTATATATATATATATATGATCATGATTATATTTGATGATGCTTCCCCATGACACACCAGCCATTTTTTTTAGGGGGCTCGTGTGGACGGTTTTTTGTGGCTGGATGTGCCCACCAGCCATGGAGGTTTCGTCATGGGGAATCTTGGGATCCGGATTGCGGAAATGATCCGTTTTAAGAAGTCAATGATGCTGAATCATATTCGGAATTAATAGTGATTAACCACTGGTTAATACTGGTTAATACTGGTTTGTAATTAACTGAATAATTAGGATGTGGGTCAAAATGGAAGACCGTTAAGGGGACCACAGATGTGAATGTCCAGTTTAGTATCCACCATCCAATTATTGGGGTACCTCATTTTGACCCATACCCATATTCGGAATAAAATCCATGGTGGTTAATACTGGTTTAATAAAAATAGTGGTTAATAATGGTTAATGAGATATCTGGTGGTTTGGAAGATTTTTTCCTGGTTAATCTATGGTTAATCTATATATCTGGTTGGTGGTTTCAAACATTTGGATTATGACTTTCCATATATTGGGAATGTCATCATCCCAACTGACGAACTCCATGATCTTTCAGAGGGGTTGAAACCACCAACCATATATATATATATATGTGAATATCATACCGTCCAGGTGAGTAAAGCCCCAAGATAGTGGTGCATAAGTTCACAAGAAACTCATCCATGAATGGATGGTATCCACCGTGTTCATTTTCAAGGGGACGAGTCAGCAGCTCAGGACCCTCCCCTTCGCCACAGTCCGGAACCCAGTTGGACGAAACCATCTTCATTTGGTGCTTGATAAGCTACTGACTTGGATGTGGACCCAAGTAGGAACTCATGAACATACGATAACAGAAGTCCAAAATTGGGCACCCTTCAAATCCACTGATTTGTCGGATTTTTCCCCATCGAAGTGGCAATTCTGGAGAGATCCGCTTTGTGGACAACCGCATGCGAATGGTAATATCACATATAAAACTGTCACTAAACAAACCATGGGTGTCAACTGCTTCCATGCCATTACCAACATCGCGCGTTTACAGTATTCATTGATCAAACATGATCAATGTGAATTTACTATGGGGAAAACTAAGAGTTCGATGTGGAAAACCCATGGTTACCTTAGGGTATCCATTCATCCCACGTCAATTGTGGCTTTTTGACTTCAACAACTTCTGTAAGTTCCACCAACCACAGAAAAGAGACAAGACTCTCCATGACTGGGCCCTCAAATGATGAGATCTAATACTAATCCAGGGGGATTTCATATTAAGGGAATGGGATTATTTTTAGATATTTTTTTTCGGATCTATGGCGCAGATTGTTTTCAGATCTGGACATTGATATACACTTCTGGTGGTTTCAAGCATGTTGATTTGCCGACTTGGGGATGACACAACTTATTTTTCTGGTTGGTGGTTTGGAACATTCGGCTTATTTTTCCATAATATATTGGGAATGTCATCATCCCAACTGACTTTCACTCCATGATTTTTCAGAGGGGTAGGGATTTCACAACCACCAAGCAGTTATTTTTACACAGGGCCGCTTGGAATCTTAGGGGTGACATTTTCATTACCCTCTGGTAATTTATAGCTATTGAAACTGACCATTTATAGTGGATTTTCCCATTAAAAATGGTGATTTTCCATCGTTTTTTGTATGTTTACCAGAGGGTATGTCCATGTTCCAGTGGGCCCAGTGGGCTATGAAAAATCACCGGGATCATCGGGTTCCAGGCCAAAGGTGGCCTGATCTTGGGACCTTTGGGCTTGGTGTGCCTTGGCCAAAGTTATTGGGGCTGGTGTAGCATTGTTACACGCCAGAGAGCGCCTTATATATATATATGTATATAATATATATATATACATACAAAATATATGTATATGATTGTATATGTATGTATGTGTATATATAAGTAATTATGTATACATGTATCTAATTCTAAATCTACATTTCTTTTTTGTGAGGATCTTCATAAAATATTTTGCAGATAGATAGCTTGGGGTGAAAATAACGACATCACTACCTCACTGTAAATGATGGATGATATACGTATGTTCAATCATCCAGAAATGGCCGAACTTTGCAGGTTGTCTTGCAGGTTGTCGCCCTGAAGGTAACACAATGAATATCAAAATGGCACCGGGCCCCAAACAGTCCAAGGGTTTCCTTATGTTTAAGATCCTGGCCTGGCATTTCTCTTCACAAAAACAATCAAAAATTGTTTGGGTCATGCCCTTGTTGCCAAGTGGGTCGATTTGTTAAGGTCGTAAATCATTCTAAAAGTCTTGCGGCCATCCATATATGATGCTTGACTTTCAGGGCCCATTCACCGACATTTATAAGTTGGTTTATAAATCCCATTAACTATAGCTATTTGCGTACCATAAATTATAAACCATAGTTATTGGAGTTATAAACCAACTAAACTATCTAGGGGGCACCACTTTGTAGAAAACAGGATTTCACCCAGGTAACCTGCTGGTGATCTTTGGATCAGGTGTGTAGCAGCCCTATCTCATCACTGCAGCACGGATGGAAACTGGGAAACGAACGGGAAACGAGCCATAGGTCACATGTAAAACAACAACTGAAGGCTACGACTGAAGCCATACTTTACCCTCTGGTAATTTAACATAGCTATTGAAAATGGCCATTTATAGTGGATTTTCCCATTAAAAATTGTGATTTTCCATAGTTTTTTGTATGTTTACCAGAGGGTAAGCCATTGGTGACCCAAATCGCCACTTTTTGGAGGAAACGGTGATCGATCACCTTTCTACATCATGGGGATGATCATGGCTCAAAAACCCCACGAAATGGAACGATGGATGGGATGTGTTTTTTTTCCTCTCAAGTAATTACAGTAGGTCAGGGGTACGGCCAAATCCAATGGTTTTACTATGGGTAAAAAAAACAGTTGATGCAATGGGTATCGAAATCAAAATCGGTTATCCTCAAATCCAATGGCTTATCATGATTTTCCCGATCAAATCAAAATGGTTCGTTGGGGGGACACCTCATTTTTAGATACCCTTCAACGTTGGAATAGGTTTAGCAACTTGAGTGCTTCCCTACTATTTGACATTCATAACAGGTATAACTTAACCCAGTATAAAATCAAACTTAGTGTTCCCCTATAGCATAAGTATTATAACGTCGTTTTTCCTATGGTTTCCCTTACCAACTTCGAGTTTCCGTTCACGAACCGTTATTTGGTAAACCCAATCAATCCAACCATCCCCATTAGAGGTCGCAGTATGACCCGCTTTTATGGCTAGCCTTCATGGGATGGTTCATGGGATGAAGGCTTTACCACAGTATCCCTAAATCCATTGGGTTTTTACCACATTCCTTAGCTTATGAATCATCACACTGACCACTCACCAGATTAATCCCATCCCCCCAATATCAAACACTCCCTAGAAACCATGGTAGTGTTTATTATCATCATGAACATCATTACATCATTATTATCATCTTGCGTTTCTTTTCATTCTTCTCATGATGATGATGATGATGATGATGATGATCATGATCATGATCATGATTATGATGATCATCATGTGCAACTATTCGTTCTTAATCGCTGTTGTGATGATGATGAACAGCTAATCGGTTTGCTAAAAAATGTTTGGAACATGTTTTTTTCCATGTCATATATGGGATGTCATCCGAAACCCATTGACGAAGTCCATGATTTTTCGGTGGCGAAAAACCACCAACCAGGTGATGTTTGATGTTTGTTACCCTCTGGTTATGTCAAAATAGCTATTGAAAATGGCCATTTATAGTGGATTTTCCCATCAAAAATGATGATTTTCCATAGCTATGTTAAATTACCAGAGGGTACCTGGTTTTTTGTGCCCGGTAGAAAGCAAGGCATGGGACTTTTGGTGAAGCTGGCCACTAGGACCAGCACCAGGCCGCCGAGATGGGCCGAGATGGGGCCCCTGGCCCCGGTGGAATGAGATGGGATTTAGCCATTCCAAAAGGTGGATTTCACATAGGGTGAACATTTATGTTGGTTAGGTGGATTTAACATTGAAATGTTTCATGTTTGATGGTTTCACTTAGGGTGAACAGAGTCTTTGTCCGACATTTCACCTGATTTCGACTTGATTTGTACTTGATTATGACTAGATTTAACCTGAATTGACTTGATGAAAAACATGGGGAACCTCCGAAACATCAATATGTGGGGAATTTGCTAATTTTTGGCTGGATATCTGCAAACTAATTGGAGTTTTCAGTAGGTCAAACCAAGATGTGATAAGAATTGGAGGTATTTAGCGATCAACCAAGTTGACATGTTAAAATCACCAGCGCTGTCTCCGGTCTCCGGTCTCCGGCTTGTCACATCTTGTGGGGGCCATCCAGTGGCTTCAACCAACTCCATGAAATATCGCATAATATATTTGGCATTGATGTTAACTACATATTCTCTATCCATGTTCTGTATGTTCTGTATACATATTGTGTACAAAATGCAGCATACTTGTGATATCGGCTAATCTTCCTTCCATCAAGATTTATCTCGATCACATTTAGTCGTAATTATGTTTGTCCGTATTGTTCCATATCTACATGCACATACCCTCTGGTAATTTAACATAGCTATGGAAAATCACCATTTTTGATGGGAAAATCCACTATAAATGGCCATTTTCAATAGCTATGTTAGTTTACCAGAGGGTACATCATGTACCCATTGCACATCGTTTTATTCCCATTGATCAGCCATCAAACGGCAGGTCTTTTGGGGCCCTGGCTTCCTCAATCTTGGGACGACGAGTGGGGAATCCCGTGGCACCCCTGGAGGTCAAAAAAGTCCATTGAAATCCAGGGAAAATCGGATGGTAAACCATAAATCCATGGGATTTTTGAGCGATTTTCAGAGAAAAAAACAACAAAAATGGTGGATTTCAATGGAAACCATGGTGTTTTCAAAAAAAACAATGATTTAGCATATCTATTTTCACACTCAAAAACCATGGTGGAAGTAGGGATGTTATGATGAAATATGTTGTTTTTTGGAGAATACAATCGTGGTGTTGAACATGAACGGGGATGGGAGTACCCAATTTTGGCCCCTACACGATTCGTGAAGCTTTGGTGTGCCCCGAGGGTGCATACTATGGGTGTGTCGCAGAGGAAAAACAAAGAACATACCATCCTGTAAACTAACATAGATGTGGAAAACCCACCATTTGTAGATTCTTTTCCTACAAAAAACTACTGGTTTTCCGCATCGTTTACCCCAGGGTACCTTCATGAAATCAGCAAGTTGAGGATGCATCCACATAACTTTTATAACTTGACCATGGATTTCTCCAAGGCGGTAAAATCATCAGTATACCATTCCCTACCAGGTGGGCACCACCAAAAATTGACTTCACCGGAAATAAACCAACATCCAGCTATCGTAAACGTGGGTTTTCGTTTGTATGAACCAATATTAACCAACATTAACAAATATTTCACGATTAACCAGGATTTATCATTATTAATTATCACCAACTATTTACCATAATGAACCATAATTAACCACAATTATATAACCATAATTAACCATAATTAAACATAATTAACAAGTATTAACCATAATTAACCAGAACTAACCATTATTAACCACATTTAACCATGATTAACCATAATTAACCAGAATTAACCAGAATTCACCATTATTAACCATTATTAACCGGACTTAACCATTATTAACCATAATTAACCATTATTAACCATTATTTACCATTATTATTTACCCTAATTAACCATTACTAACCCTTCCTTGGTGAAAGAAACATCAATCTTCTGAGGCAAAGATCCTTGTGGACGTCTGTCTGGTGCTGACGCAGTATGGTTTCGCCATTGCGGACTGATGCGGAGAGATGGCGGGAGTGACCAGGAGGTCGTTGCGTTTCGTGGAGTAAAACTACAAAGTGGTGCCCCAGTTCGTTAGCTAAGTTGGTGCAAATAACTCCCATGAAACCTATGGTTTATGGCAGATATAACGAACTAGTTACTGGGGTTTATAAACCAACAAACATCACTGGGGGGCACCACCTTGTATGGCTGACACATCCTACAAAAATCATCCTGTGGTCACCAACAAAGAGGATTAAACTACCCCGTTTAGGTCGAATTATATCTAGTAGTGGTGACCAATAGGTCCAGTTTCCCAATATGTTTATGGTTTGAGTTTGGGAACCTATTGGAAACTATATTGGAACATATTGAGCCTACTTGAATGTGCATCGGCATTGTAAGTGGGGAACAAGCAACATGAGATAGACTGGATTTGAGGGATACACCCCAGTGTTATGGGTTTTTAACCACCTACCTATGCCCGAAGGGGGACAAAGCTAGTGGGCTCATGCAAAGGGCATCAAAACTTGGATCACTCATCAAATCGATGGCCATTTCAGGCTAAATTGGAGGTACCAATACCATATCTGGTTGGTGGTTTGGAACATTTTTTCCTGGTTAATCTATGGTTAATCTATATATCTGGTTGGTGCTTTGGAACCATGGAATGGATTATGACTTTCCATATATTGGGAATACTAACCCCAACTGACGAGCATATTTTTCAGAGAGGTAGGTATACCACCAACCAGATGTAAGGACAAAGAAGCAGATCCTTGGCGACCAAGATGCAACGGTCCCCGGTGCCCTGTCCTGTCCGTGAGGATATCATTTTCATCGCGCCTTGTCTGGCAACGGGTTTGGAAAGATGAGGGGTTCTTACCAGATACCCTCTGGTAAACTAACATAGCTATGGAAAATCACCATTTTGAATGGGTAAATCCACAATAAATGGCCATTTTCAATAGCTATGTTAAATTACCAGAGGGTAGATCCATCACGAGCCAAGGTCCTCACTAGACCTGCGCAGCGGGACTTGATTCAGAGCTTAAAGCCACTGTTTAATCTGAGTAGTTGCATGTTTCAACCCATCATTCGAGTAGCCGCATGTAGCTCTGTCCGTATGCTACTTCCACATGTTGGTCCAATACTTGATGCTTTGACAATAATTCCAGTATTGGAATGGATTCAACATCATTCCAGTAGTTGACACATATGTTGGTCCTTTGAAATTCAAAAAAAAAACAAAATTTGAAATTCTTTGGTGGAAAAATCCAAAATTGGTCCAATAATTGGGTCCACAATAATTCCAAAATTGCCATTGGATTCTTGACATCTACAGATTAGTCCCACAATGGATCTTGGTGACCATATTTTCTCAAGATCCTATGGCCTCAACTGTTCTCCATCAACAACGGGTAACTTAGCATATAGATCATCCCCGAATGAAGAGATCCAGTAGTTCCACCTATGGTTCATAGAGGTGTGTTCAATTTTAAGGCCTTTGGGGGATCAGGGATCGGGATATGATTCTGATATCCCTCAACTCACGGGACTTTTCTGCTGAAGTGTAGGACTTGTTCTGTGGTAATTCATCCATATTCAACCAGCTCCAAAAATCCAGTGGTGAACGGAGGGAGCGAGCGATTTGGAGCTATGGGTATTCATATTCCCTATTAAATATATTAAATAGGGAGCGATTTGGAGCTACCAAGAGTTTCCTAACCACCAAGCTAGGTATCCAGGAATATGGTACCAAAATCTCATGATTTGATGCTTGTGGCCCATGATTCTGTTGTGCCATGGTGGTCGTCAATCCATTGCACTGCACACATCCCATGTAACTTGATCATGGCATATGAGTATCTGATTGGGGTATAATGGCTGGTAAAGCAACATACCTAAGGAACACATAATCTTTTTAAGAGGTAAATCAATGTAAATCAAGTTTATTGGACATCCCATGAACTATACTTACATACAACATATAAACACATTCCCCATAAACCCTAGTCAATTGTTATATTACCATTACATAACTTCCACCATATTCTCACTAGCTATCGGGGAATCTCCCAACGGGATTCCACATGCTTCTGACCGGCGGATGAGTCCCATTCAAAGCAGTTGATGCTGGTTAATCACCGCCGTTTCTTGAGTTTCTTGTGTACCCATGGTACCCTTCCAAAGGAGTTCATGCTGGTTTTTCAATGGCCATTTCAGGAACCTAAGTCTTAGGTACCTAACATCTATAAGGCCTATGTAAGGGCTATGTAAGGGGATATACCCCCAAAATATGGCCTTCTATGGTACTAACGTACCTCCATCTGTTGGATCCTGGAATTCCCATTGAGTTTTTGTCACCTCCCAACAGGTGGAGAATGTGCGAGATGTGATCTGCTTGGAGACGAATCAGAGCGCATGCCCCGGAAAGGCGGGCTTTGGCACTGAGAGCCCAAAATGAATAGATCCAATACTAAACCATGGTTTACAGAAGTTAGTAACTATATAGGCTATATCATCCCATAAATATCCTACCCTAAGGGTCATTCGTACCTGGTAAAGAGATACCGGTATCTCTGAGTGAGGGTTCCGTACCTCGAACCTCTGAGCGAGGGGTCGGGGCCCTCGGGGAACATAGGCCGAGGTACCGAGGTACCGAAATCCATGTACCCATCGTGCCGCTTTGGCTGACAGGGGTGGTGAGATGAACCAAACACATGATGAGAGGCAATCATATCTAAACATCCTAGGTGAGCTATATCAACATTGGGAAACCCAAGTATACCCAACCTCTTCCATTAGGAAACCCAGGTATACCCAACCTCTTACTCTTCGATAAGTTATTTTTTTTCTCCGCTTCCGACAAGCGTGCGCGATGTGGAAGCCAGCAGCACGCCGGCATGCCTCGGCCACGCATAAAGCGAGGACCCTTCCGGAATCTGATATGGGGTGGTGGTTGTCAAGTTCTTAAGAATGATAAAGCACTAACAATCCATTGGCATTGGTTCGCTTCAATTCATTTTAAAAAAGATTCAGAACATGATGATGGAAATACGTGTGTCTTTTCAATTTTGATGGAAAGAAATCATAATTGCCTCAACTGCAATGTGGGCTCACAGCTGGTCGGGCTGAGTGGAGAAACTGTCCACTACAATGGATGGCCGGGAGGATGAAGTCATAGGCTGGACCAGTTTTCTATGTTTTTCCAAGTCGCTGAACAAAACACGGTATGCAATTTTTAATGATGCATGTTGATGACAACCATGAGGCATCCTGAAGATGCATCTTCCTTCTTCAGCATTCATGACTTGTGCGACATCACCAGCACCCTTGAACACCCTCTTTCCGGATCTAGACAGCACGAAAATTCACTTTGGCAATCTGGAAACATACCTCGACCTTGTGCTTGCCCTCTTTAGCATATCACCTGAAGGATCCTAGAGTTGCAATAGCACAACACGCTTGCACACGTATTTTGTTTGTTTTGTCGCTCACTATTATGGTTCCATTGGTTCTTCCCCCGCGGGGCAAATAAGGTGAATACACGCAGAACTTCCTGAGGAATGTCTTCTCGATGCTTGATGACTCTTCGAACAATGGGCTGTCGAAGAAACGCTACCAACGGGATAGGAAAACATGGGCATGTGATGAAGCTACTACCTTGTATGAGTTGCTGAGTTACACCCGTCGCTATTGGAGGAAAGCATTGAAACGCAAGACTCGGGGCAGAGCTACTGTGTTTGCAGTTGATATCTTATGTTTGAAGTATGCAGCTTATTAACAGGTGCTAGTTTTCGTATAGCCAGCTTCGCGCAATCCATGTTACGAAAATTAAGGTTGCAGCTTCGCTCTTGGTCGTACTACGCCCATGTGAGCGTCGTGCGCGGCCATCTTGCAGGGGTTCCAAAAAAAATCCTCCAGCTGGCGAAGAATCCTCCCCTCCAGAAACAGCCCAGCCGGTCAATATGGTTGATGATGATGATGTTGAGATTATCACGCCCCCCGAAGAAGCAGGCATGTGTGTGTGTGTGCGCGACGTGTTGACCTCAATACTTGTTCCCATCCAACTTACGGGAGACCCGGCTCTGCATAGGTGCTGATGCTGCAGTAGGATCTTCTGGCCTGGGCAGTCCAAAGGTAGCTCAGCCATGCTTTAGGGTTCACATGCACATTATGTTTTGAAGAACCTGGTGGGTGATCCACTTCAGAAACTTAGGCAATGGATTCAATGGATGAACCGGCATCAAGTCTATAACTCAGAACCAAAGACATGCACATATACATTGGATGTGTGTTTGTGCTGGTGAGAGTTCCAAATGATCAGCCATAGTGATACAGAATTTACTTATCCCAACCAAGTCCAGATCCAATGTAGTGTTACTGTGTGTTTCCATATGAGTTTTCCGTTCAATTACAAAACAGTCATTTGAAAAATACTTTATCATGCAATCTTTTTATCAAGACTTGTTCAGGTGTTGCTTCTACAAACCTTGACGAGCCGGATGTGATGGAGATCCCTGCGTATGAAGTCCCGGACTCACAGCCGAGAACCCAGGAACAATGGGATTTCTACTTCCCCAAATCCCAGAATTCATCATCCTCGTGCCCTCCGGAGCCTCCTGGGATTCAAGAAATTTCAGATGATGAGAAGGCCCAATCACTGTAAGAACCGTACATATGATTGAATTTTGTTAAGCATGATGCATCCAGAATTACCACTACCCATGCAGCTATGGCCCTCAACAATTATAAATGACCGGGGTTATAACTCCTGCAACTAAGGCATTACACATAGTTATATATAGCACGCATATATATCTAATATATGTACATAATACTCAAGGGTTACAACTGTAGCATACGTAAAAAAAAATCACCCATCCATACCCTCTGCAGGTGCCGTGCGATCAGTTCAGCTTGAATCAGCATGCTCCCTGGCAGCGCTCGGTCAGGGATGTGACACTGGGGGAACATGCATAGCATGGGACAACTACGGGTCTTGGGGTTCGTTTGTTGAAGTTGAGGTTGATGATTGGGAATCTGGTAGTGAACCTGATATCGTATGCCTCGATGATCATTCAGTACATGGCTTACATGTGCCCTTGGTTCCATCTACAACTTCTGGGTCGGGCTCCGTGGGTGCACCACCACGGGAAGAGTCTGGGCTAGAGCTCTGTGAGGTGAGTCCCAAGGTACCAACACCTGTGTTAGTGGATGCAGGCATTTCAGATATGCCACCATTGCCAGAACCTCCAGTCTTGAAAGATGTCACCAATGCGACAGGTCCAACACAAGATGACCATGGGGAATACAAATACCATGTTCCAGAACAGCCATCCTTTGCAAATGAAGTTGCCAAGATGGTTGCCGAAGCCTCTCTGCCTGACTTTTCCAAACAGGGAAAGCCACGTGGAAGGAAGACCCGGACTTCAGAGGCCATTGCCGATGAGGTGGGGGACGACAGCGATGACGAAAAACCTACCAAACCAAGTCGGAAAAAACGAGCACCAAAGACATCGGCAGCAAAGGCGAAAAGCAGGAAAACCACCAGCAAGGCAGCAGCCAAACCCAAGGCGAAAGCCAAATCCAGGTCGAAAAAAACATCGCATGTCAAGAGTCCAACGAGTCGCAAGAGCAAGTCTTCAAAACAAGATGATGAACCCTCTAGGCCAAAGAAGAAGCAAAATTCAAGGGCAGTTAGGATGGCAGCGACAGACAACACGGATGGGCCGACCACCCCACCATCAGGGAGTGGTGCCAGCACTGACATGCCAGCTGATGCGAGGCCAGCACCACCTCACATTACCCTCAACAATGTTTATTCGAATACTTACAGACATGCTTTGAAATTGAACCCCGGTGATGTCGAAGGGGCTAAGGAACTAGGACGAAAGGCCACGGCATTTTGGCGCCAACATGGCATGGTGAGGTCGTCTTGGACCGGCACTTTTAGAAACAAGAAAGACACATGAAACGCTTCAATTGAAGCGGGCCCCCCTATTTCAACCTATAAATTACTAATTGGGTTGTTTTATACCATGCATAGCTGTTTGTTTCACTATGGCTGTGACATGAACTCATTGTTTCAACACTCAGGCTCGGGGGCTGGAGTCGCTCTTGTGGTCTGTTGTGTGGCAGCTACTTGCAACGGTTAGGTATTTAGCTAGACGACCCATATTTCAAAAAATATATTGTTAACTTTTATATATGTGTTTTATTGCCATGATCGCGAATGCCACCACAGACTTACTTATCTTCTTTCAACACCTGGGCCTAGATGATGGTTCCAGAAATGTTTGAGCCATGGTGCCCTGTTTTTAGTGCAGGGTGCCTTTCCGCTTCCATACAAACATGGGGGTGTTGATGTAGGATGTTGAAGTCCCAATTCATTACCCGAACTGCAAAGTGTCCCTTGCTGCCTTGAGGGTGGCCCAGGGAAGGCGAATCGCTGATGGCCTAAGCCAGGAGCATGTTCAAAAATGATGTCATAGCCAGCCACTCACAATAGAAAATTAGGTTTTTTTTTGGGGCAGCTCAGACAACACTTGGCCAATGCATAACATGGCATGTGCAGTGTTAATTTGGGTTGAGATCGAGATATATCGCGAGATCAACTTGCCAGCTCTTTTGGCTTAGCATTCTTGGTTGAGATCATCACCTCTGACCTGGCCTACCTAATCTCAGCAACCCAGTTGCATAACAGCCGATTCTTCAAACTGTCCCTGAAATGGGTTTGTTTCTGCACAAAAACCGTTCAACGACAGTCCATTCCATTCCCCTGCCGCCTTGTGTGGTCCCCGTATGTGTCCCAGGTAACCGCACAATGCCAGCGCCAAAGAAGACCAATCTGGAGTCTCCTGGAAGCAGCAGGTTGAGCCCCAAAGGTTTAAACCCGTCTTTAATAATCAAAGATACCCCATATGGTTTTGAAAACTATATATTTTCATTGTAAATGTATGCGCTTAAATCCCCGGGGCAATGTAAAAGTATTGCATGGGCAGGGTTTATCCTTCATCCCCGGGTTCCTCAAAGTAAGGAAAAATAAGATCCATGGGTCCTAGCCAACCCACCAAACCCTCTAAGGGGAAACTAGGGTGTCCCATGGTATTTTCCTTCTTTTTCCATTTTCACAAGGACTCATGGTACACCTGGCATGCCCCATGTAGCCTATGCAAATCTGATTATTTCGTCATGTCCATCCACACCATTGGATTTTTTCTGCTTAGGCTTTGAAATCTCGATAAGAACACGTTCAACTAGTTAAGGAAATATCATGATAAGAACATGTTCAACCAGTTAAGCTGTTCATTTCGGCTAAGTGCATTCATTCACTTACACCTGTCATTGCCTAGGCTGCGCCCAAGCACGCGTTGCATGGATGATGAGGTGGTGGAGGGTATTCCCCGAGGACCTTCCCAGCCCTTAGGGCCTGCCAAGCCAGGGTGTCTTCCTTTTCGCTTGTTCATGATCATGCAGGTTATTGCTACGGCATTTGTGGCTCCTCCCCCCTTCTCTTGTGTGGATTGTTTTGCCGGACGACGTGCCATCTCACGAGCGTTTGTTGGACATGGTGAACCAGCAGTGGCGTTGGATATAATTTTGACTCCCAATGATGATTCTTGGATCAAATATTTAATGTTCTGTACATGGGGCTTGAATTAGTTTTATTCGATTAAAAATTTATGTGTTTTCACTTAGGACATCTTATCTCCTCTTGGATTTATTCGCCACGTGTATGCAGCGATGAACCTGAAGAGAGGTGGATTGCTATTCGCTGGTGTGGTATCTTCGACTTTTTCGATAGTTAACAGAGGAACCTCAGGACGAACAATCGAAGATCCATTGGGACGACAGTTGCTAGACTTATTTTTAGGCTATATCAATGGGAATTTCAGGATCCTAAAATGGAGGTACTGTACCATATAAGGCCATATTTGGTGGGGATATTCCCTTACATAGGCCTTACATAGGCCTTATATATGGTAGGTACCTTCAATTTAGGTTCCTAAAATGGCCATTGACTATACCGCTATACCAGAGATGCGCACATGTGCTCTCTCTAATTGGGTATCGATTTTCAATTCATCTACTGCTGAGGTTCTACAAGAGTGTTGCTAAAGGCAATTTGATGCTGGTACGTGTTACGTGTCTGCAAATTGTTTTTTGATCATGTTATACCATGCATGCATCTCATTGTCATAAGATCAATCCATGGTGAGCTGACCATACCCAGGCTGTTCTTCTATTCATGATATGCATCTTCAATGGCGCCACATGGGTGATGGAAAACCCCTCCACAAGTATCGCCCTGCCCTTAGGATTGCCAATGGGTGCCCTGTTTTTCTGTTTCAAAACGGAAGTTAAAAGAAGATTTAAAATTTAGGTTCCTGTTTGCATTGCCAAAGCAATAGGGTGTCCTGACATGAGACCCACCCCCACCCTACTGAAACCCCTATCCGGGTACTAAGATCTTTGAGATGCCACGATTCAAAGAGCTCATTGAGCGCTGGGGTGGCCACGCCCTAAACATGTGGCTTGGCATGTACGGTGCACCAACATGGAAGATGGTGAAACTGTTTTCCTCCGACCCATTCATCTATCGCCTATTCAGGACTGAACTATGCAGTTGTTTTCAAATATTTTCAAATAGGTTTCAACAATTTGTTGAACTAGCTACCTCATATTTCTGGTTAAAAAATATATATTTTTTGCACCTTGCATGTATGAAAAAAGGAATACATCATCCGTGGTTCAGGTGTCCATGAGCGCACCAAATTTTCAATATTGTTTGGGGGTCACACCCTGTTATGTTTGCAGGAAGTTGGACAAATCTCAATTCCCGAAGTCCCGCTCTACTGTCCGCTACACAGATGGCAAAGGGCAAAAGAAGTTTAAAGGCAGCCCGTTGCTGAAGGCAACGCAAGTGTATACCCCGTCCTTTGGCAATGCAGTGCCTAGGTGGCGATCATGTACGATTTACCACGCATGGGATTGGCTTAATTAATGCAGAGAACCCATGCAATGCGATAGGTGCTGTAGACTGTTCTGATCACAGTGAACCTATATAAAATGAATTTGGGAATTCGACATTTTCACAATTTGGGAATCCAACCACACGTATGTATGCCATGAACGTTTTAAAGTTTAGGCACTCAATGGGGTAGTTTCAGCTGCGGTGAACCATTGGAAATCTTGAAGTTGTGGGTGGGGAAACTCCTTTTTCACCCAGGTGTACCGGAACTTCACCACCTACGCACGTTGTTCTCCCGACCCCTGCCACGAACTGGACTATGCAGATTCATGGGATGATGCGAAGCTGCTTGGGTTTCAACCTAGCTGTGGTTATTTCATGCCGTATCAACTTAATTTAGTGGATGGTGGGTTCGCCTCTTCCATGCCGCAACTAATGTGCGCGGCTAGCATGTAACATAGTTAAAATCGAGGGCCTCATTCCATTTTGGGTTCGTGCATGATTTGGGCCATGAAACAAGGTACACGGGAGCACCCACAAACCCAGAATAAAATGAATAATAAAGATTCCCCCAACCCCCAATCAAAATCATACCCAACCAAAATCATATAAGTTTGTGAAGGCGGTGATTGTACATTGTATAAGCATAACATATCGTCAATACTAGTTGGAAGCCAGCTGCATACATCAGTCATTCTTTTTATGAATTTTATGAACAAATGTGGGAAATTATGGAACCTATTTGAAGTGTTCTTCTTTCCATCCATGAACACAGCCATGCCCCGTTGCAAACCAGCCACCGGTACTCTGGCCCAGGCTCGGTGAAGTCGAGGACTACCTCTACCAGATGCTCAAAGAGCGAAACCAGGGATGAACAAAATCCCAAACTTTTCATGGAGATCAAGTCAATGATTTATGAGATCTCTTTTATTTCTGATATCGTCTTCAAATTGCTTCACCACGATCTCCAACAAAATTAAAAGTCAAGTGTTGCACTCCATGAGGTGGTTCCTGAACAAAAACTATTAGCAAAAACCATTTTGGTTGTTGACACTGGTACCGTATGTGGGATTATCCATGGAATGCATGTCAACACTCTGGCTGAGCTGACTGCCACCGCATCAGAAGAGAAAACATACAGCTCAGATTAGTCCATGGTTGGGGGGTGCGTCGGAAACCCGTCGGAAACTACAGGGGTGGTACCTCGTATGAGGGCCATATGAGGTACCGGCGTCGGAAACCCGTCGGAAACATTTTGAAATATTTTGTGGGTTACCTCAGCCATTTGTGTTTCATGAACCCATCGCGTGCTGGGACCATGCCTACCGACCAGGCTAGTAGACACTACCATTTTGTCAATGGAATGTTATGGATACTCCATTAGGTTTCATGGATTTGCCTTTTCGAAAAATGGAGGCCTCGGGGATTGCCTTTACACCAACGGATGCTCGAACAAAGTCAGACTTGTTCGCCAGATTCCCAGGTGCAATGCAGGCTGGACTTGGGATATTGTTGTCTTTTTGGTGGATGGATGGAAAAACATTTGCTATAAATCAAAAAATAAAAACATCATGTGTATAATATGCCATATGTGTGTCTTTAAGTTGTGGTTCACATTATTTTCTGCCCGGCGAGGCTTTTGCAACTCCATCGCCCTCACCTTCGGAGACTCAGGCTCCCACAGAGGTCGCAACGCCGGCCACACTGGCCACTGCTGAGGACTGTGATGGTGAAACCTGGGTTGGGGCTGCATGGTTCGCATCGACCAGATTTGTCCCACATGTTCTTCTATAATGTCTATATAAACTTTAAAAACTTTATGGCCCTTTACCAGATATAAGATACTTATAACCCCACTTATAGAGTGTATAACCGGTCCTGTAATTACTGTAGAAAGTGTTCTTTTTTGGTATATCATTGCAACGCAGGATGATGGGGACGATGAACTGCCTACAATTCCAGCACTTCCAGATGATCGTTTGGCGTTCGAGCTCCTAGACCGCATATAATTTACGCGAATAGTTTTGCATTATGCCCACCATGCAAGTTTTATAAGCCCCACATTATCCATATTTTTTAAACAAACTTTTATCTATAATCCACCTTGTATAGCCTGTTCCACCTTGTATAGCCTGCCAGTTGCAACATTATTATAGTTTTTTTAATGATTGTGATGGCCCAGGCCCGTCACGCCACCAACAGTTCTGTCGAGGGCATCGACACTTGGTTCAGTGGAGTTTGCGAAAGCAGCTACAACTACCCCTCCTCCTGTCCCAAAGCCTTCTGTGAAACGTGAGCTGCTGTTCGATCCCTGCGAAACCCCCAAGAAAGCCAAAGCACCAGTACCAACCTCGAAACGTCCATCTATTTCTGTGGTGATCAAAGCTGAGAAGGTGGCCCCAACTGCTGCCAAGTCAGGGAACAGCCGTGTGGAAAACCCTGCAGCGCCAACGACTGCTGTGCCAGTCAAGCAACCGGTTGGGGCACCACCTCCGACCCTGAACCCACCAGCCAAAACTGAAGCAGCAATGCCAAAACCAGTGGCCACACCTGCAAGGGCAGCAGCAAAGGCAACCGTTAGTGAACGAACACATGACAACCAGCAGGCAGCAGCCACACTCCGCAGACTGAAACCCATGCCTTCAAGTCCAGTTTCATCACCTGCAGGGACACATGAACCTACCCCACAAGAGATGGCTGACCGCCGCCTTGCCAACAAGATGAGCGCACTGACTGATGAAGAAATGGATCAGATTGCTCTTGAAAACGCTATCCTTCAGGAGTTGGCCGGTAAGAGTGATGATGAAATTGATGCAATGTTCGAGGAGATCAAACGTCACCCTTTGTTCAAAAAGTTTGCCCAGGTGCAGCGTGAGGAAACGGGTGATGATGAATGGACCTTTGAGGATACTGATCAAATTCCAATTTGGGAAATGTGGGTTCAAAAATATGTAAAGCCCCCTCCAAAGGCGAAGCCAAGCAGCCCAGAGCACAAGGACGTCACACCGGAGCCCAAGCAAGTCGCCTTGCCCAAAGCTGGCATTTTGCGCATTGCACCTCCCCCTGCAAAGCACCCTGCAGTGGCCTTGCCCCCGTCCCCAGCAAAGGCAAGCAGCCCTACACCAGTGTCCAAGAGTGTGACAGTTGCCTTGCCGCCTGCAGTGGAGCCCAAGGTTTCACCACTGCCCCCTCCTGTCCCGCTGACAGCCCGGCCTGGAGGGTCGAAAGAAGTTTCAGGTTTTACCATTGCAGTCAAAGATGGATCTAATGCGACTAGGTTTGCAAGAAAATTGAGCATGGAATCCTCAAGTAAGGGTGTTAACAAAAAAAGATAGGCTTAAGGCTTGTTGGGGCACCCTATTTTCCGACATCTCCATATTTAGCTATATGATCCATTAAAAGCGTTACCATGCAATCAAATGGGATTGAAAATCCATGGGATGTTGTTCCATTAAATCATCTATTTAAAAGTGAGGTTTCCCCATTTAGAATCTATAGAATGCAGCGGGTATGGGTATTCCAACTCTAGGTGACGCCAGTGGTTCCAGAGACCTACGATGAACGAGCAGCTCACCAAGCCGAGTTCAAGAGGCGGAACCGTCCATGGGAGAATGGTTCAAAATCAATTCCTATTGTTTTGGTGATGCAGGGGGTTCCCAAAAAAACAACATACCCTTGTGTACACGCAATGGATGCTGCACACTTTATTTCTGAATTAACTTAAGTGTAAGGGTCCATCCAGTGATACGCCTGACCCCAGGAAGCTGAAGAATCCAGAGGCCAACGAGATCCCAGATTGTGTGATCGAAGCTTGGAACAAGGCTTGTGAGGAGAACTCAAAGACGGCCAAAACAGCCCTGTTCAACACATGGTTGCAAGCTGGGAAGCATTTCTCCATGCTACTTGACTCGCAAAAAAATAGTGAAATCAAAATGTAATTGAATGGTTCAAGATATGACAAGAATATTATATATGTGGTTCCTATATATATATATATATTATATATATATATATATCATGTGGATCCACCCGAGCCACCCCTTATGTAAGATTCAGTCTCTAAGACTCCAAGCCTCAAGGCTGGAATTTATCTACCAGAGATCCCACACTGACCGCACCATCGGTGACAAGAAGCATGGCTGGGTGCTGAGATGTCCTTGACCGTCACAAGTGGCTCCTAGCCGCAACGGATATGTTGCACGACTTAGGTTGGAAGACGCGGGCACAGCTCATGGTGCTCTATGGCAATGACACGACCCTTGTTGATCAGCTCATAACCCGAAAAGAGCAGGAGGGCTTGTTCCAGAACCATCCAGAACTTGATGGTATCAAAATGTATTGGGTATCTTGCTCTTATTTCATATGTGTTGCAAATCATGGGAACAGTTCCTGTTGATTACCTAGCACCTCCTATTCACTTAGGTACTCCTCGATTTGACCCAGTCAGAGCAGGAGGAACACACAGAGACTCGAACCTTCTCCGTTGGAGCTAGGATGAATGCTAGCAGTGAGGCCGGTTACGGTAGCCCTGTTACATGGCGACATAATAATCCAACAATTGTGAAAAATGTCGGTTCTGATTTCAACATCATCCATCCACACTGGGGTTTGGTAAGGTCATTGAAAGTTTTTTTTATAGCATCATGATGGGGGGGTTGTCTCAATCCCGCCGACAGGGCGCACAGCGCTTCATCAACCAGGCCGGGTTCAATTCAGGTGTCTCCCTGGCAGCTCCTGATCCAAAGGCCGCTCCAGTCTCAAAGGCCGCAGCTCCTGCGAGCGTTGGGGGCGATGGCAATGTGATTCCAGCTGTACCGGAGTCGAAGGGAAAGGGCAAAGGCAAAGGTGCTGCAGTGTTGGGATACCAAAAGCCCAAGAAAGCACCCAGGTCTTTTGTCCCATATATATTATATTTTCCTTCAAACTGTTTTCTATATGTGTCATGATGTTTAACAAGCCTAAATTCCATATAAATATATCAACATTTCAGATTGTTCTGATCTAAGGCCCAAAGTTATGCCGTGCCCCAATGGCGATCCAATGGGTGCATTCGATTGGTTAATGCCAGCCCTGGAGAAAGACTTAAAGGAATCCAAAATGTGGCCAATCCGACTCTTTCAGCACAAGCACCAAGATACCTTGCGACTCTTGAATATGTTTAAGATCGATCAAGTCAGTCACAAAGTTACATGTGTGTATATATATATATATATATCCACATGATACTTTTGAACACTGGTGGGGTCGGGGATGATATTGAGGAAAGCTTCTTGAGCAACATTCCCAAGCGATTGAAGAGAAATACTTCCAGCTTCAGCAGTTCAAGGTCAAGAAGGACCTAAATAGATCATGGTATAAGCTAGATCAACCTCGAGTTGTCCCCAGTCTTTGAGGTAATGTTGTAACCCTTCCCAAGTGGCCGTTGCAGGATCTGAAGCAGCGGATCGATGAGGACCAGCTGAGACTGGTGGTGATGGAAGCAGCTGATATCAGGGATTCCTACTTGGGGGATGCGACGGCTGCTGCTGGCCTTTGCAAGCAGTCAGGTGGTAAGAAGAGGAAATCTGACAAAGAGGTGGGGACCAGAATCAAAGTTGCCCCCACAATACAATGCCATATTTAAGGTATTTCAAAAACATTCGCTTGATATGGGATGTTGGACCGTTTTCTTGCCCCACCCCACTGCCCTCAGTCAGATTCTTCAGACTAGTCTGTCCTTGTCTCCAGGCTGACGACGAATGAGCCTTAGGCGATGGAACTATGATGAAATATATGGGGTGTGTAGCTGCCTGGTGGTGCCAATGCAATGCACCCAGTACAGTGTGGTTACAGGGGTATGGCTGCAGGGGTGAAGACCTTGACATGAGACCCCCAAAAAACATTCTATATATCATTATTGCCATATTATTGCTATATACTAAAAAAAATGTTAACTCCATGTGTTTTCCATATGGGGCTGTGACAAGGTCGGGTCCCATGCAGTGTGTATACCATGTGTTTGTGAAATCAAACACGTGCTGGTTGAGATCTGTGCTCAAAGATTGACACCCGTGCCGGTGAACAAACATTCACTTGTTTCACGCAGTTCGTTCAATCTTGTCGCACCAGAATCAACACAAATATGATTGGTTTTCAACATTTTGGGGCAGGACGCTGTCCCGCAGATCCTTATGCGCAGGACTTTTTTTTTGGCTATAGATATTGCTAACCCACAATAATCTCCCCGAAATTTTTGTGGATATGATGATCCAAAACTGTGTCCACAAAAACTGTGTCCAGCCACCCCCCGCAAACGCCGGGGGCCCTGCAGGACACAAGCGGCACTACCCATTGCTCGAAGAGACCTCGGCTGATTCCGTTTATTGCCCCTCATGTGTTGGAGGCGACCAAGGGGCATGACCGGAAGCAAGTGACACCTGCTCCCTTGGGGGAATTATTGCTAGAGAATTATGCAATTGGAAAAAATTCAGCCACAACAGATCCTTGAAACCATATTTCGTTAACGTTTCAAATTTCACCCCTCCTTATGTCAATGGGAATTTCAGGATCCTAAAATGGAGGTACCTACCATTTATATAAGGCCTATGTAAGGCCTATGTAAGGGAATATCCCCACAAAATATGGCCTTATATGGTACAGTACCTCATAGTACCTCCATTTTAGGATCCTTAAATTCCCATTGATTATGGTTAGTTATGCCCCCCAAAAAATAGTTTTTATACAATGGGTTTGCCAAGTGATTCCCCGAACTAAGGCGCAAGAGACGGCACATTCGGCCGTTGATTGGTGCAAGTCACTCGGTGGAAAACTTCCGCACAATGACTTGGTCGGGAAGATTAGCCACACTGGAAATGATGGTCGCTACAAATCCAACATAGAGCGGGATTGCCAAACTATTATCAAAACCTTTGGAAAGCGTTTTGGTGCTACCATATCCACTACTCCTATCAGAATGTGGAACCCAAAGAAGTCTTGCATCGAAGTCAAAAACCTTCCTATCATTTTCCCGGATGACTTTGCATCAGCTTTGTGGAAACGGTCCCCACAAATTTTCCGGAAGCTGCTTCTGGGAGACGGACACGTACGTGAATATTGGGAACACTGCCGAAACTATTGCGATTGGTTCAGGTCACACCCGTCCTACAATTATGCAAATTGCTGGGACAACATGGTTCCACTTTCATTGTACGGCGATGATGTACAGGCATTTAGAAACAGTGAATGTGGGTCAATGTCAATTTTGGCATGGTCTAGTGACCTATCATCATCCAATTCGTTCAAGTCCAGGTATTTTCTGATCACTGCTTTTTCTGAGTATGAAGAATGTGCTTACACCTTCGACGACTTGATGGATGCTATAGCAAAACGTATTACTATGATGGTCACTCCAAGTTTGGCACAGGAACGTTCGTACCCATGGTTGCAAGACGGCTACAGTTTCATGCTGTCCAGCTTGCAGGGGGATCTGAAATGGGTGAACCAAAACTATGGGAATCTATTTGATTACCGCAGCAATGATTTTTGCGGTTACTGCAACTGCAAGAAGCGTCATCACTTGCTTGGGATGACCCTGGGCGATTTCACTGCTTCAGCACTGCATAGGTCTACTACTCGAGAGTACCGACATGAATTTCTTGTCCAGCGTTTTTAAAGCTCGACTTAGTTCATGTTTTTGTTTTCTTTGGTTATAGCAGTAGGGAATGTTTTTTTGCTTTTTACAATGTTGGGGTTCAAGCTGTTGCTGTCATTGCAGGCTCTGCGGTCTACAAAATTCCAGGGGCACACCCGAAAAGGATACTCCATGACATGGCCCATGGACAATACCTTGGCACTGGAAAAACACTAAATGGTTCAGCATTGGTTGTTCTATGCGAAACTGGCCTATGGGGAAACATGAATGGTCCAGGCAAGTACGATGACAAACTTCAAGTTGCTCTTCAGGACGCTCACATGGATTTCCTTGCTTGGAAGACTTCCCGAAAGATCAGTTGTAGCCAACCTCGCTTTACTGTTGCCAGAGTGAATAGACGACATCGGCAAATGTGGCCAGTTTTGAATAGCAAGGCCGTTGCTGGAAAAACTATTTCATTTTTTCTTACTGAACGTGCTGTTTCTTGGGCAAACAGGCCAGGGGCAACGATGCTAGAAAAAACTCTGGCAACTTGTCTTTGGAACTATGCCCGGATGGTGGAAATCATGGACTCTGCTAAGAATATTTTTACCGAGGTGGAGTCAAAACAGTTTCAAGAACATTGCCTGCTGCATTTGCAGGCATATGGGAATTTACATGTACAGGGCCAAGCGGCCACAGGTAAACAAGCAGGAAGGAATTGTTTCTTATTGCTACCAAAACACCACTACCTTTATCATGCAGGGGTGGACGCAGGAAAAACGCGTTTGAACCCAAAGCATTTTTTGCTGTTGAGCGCTGAATCCTTTGTTGGATTTGTTGGGCGCATTGGGCGTCGCACGCATCGCTCTACTTTGACAGCACGTACAATTCAGAAATATTTGGCGCTCATGCACTTGCACGTGCAGCGGTTGGAGAGAGGTGAGGGAAGTTGAGAAGTTGAAACTTCCGAGAAACTTTGAAGCACCTTACTGGTTTAGGGAAATAAACTCATAAGCCTGGTTACAGTGAATAGCTTCCTGACCCACTGTGCCAACCCAATGTGCGGCTCTGAGACTGTGGCTGTATTGGCTGCCCATAGCCCCAATGCGGCCGTGGGAAAAAAGAGGTTGATGTGGTTTCAAACCTTACCATTTTCAGGGGGTATTCCCTATATCATCCTATATCTACTCAACGGGCTCTGTTCATCATGGGTTGACATTATCCCAAAACACCAAAACATGATTAGTACTTGGTGGTTCCCTTAATCCTTGGAGTTGTTAGGGATATTGCATTTTCAGAAACTGTAAGCATGGGATATTACCATCATATACCCTCAATAACTTAAATAAACATGTTTGATCATTTCATGAGCTGCTGCTGAACCTTGGCCGGGGTGCCGGGGACCTCAGCGAGTTCTCCCCGAGGGACCGGGGCTATATGAGAGCCCCAATCAAGTTAGGATCCTTTGGGTACCATATATATATAATATTATATAATTATATTTACATATATAGATACAACTCTTTATTTTCACATGGTTATATAGTCATTGGATGGTACTCGGATGCACATACGGGTAGTGGGAGACAAGATTTTCAAGACCATAAACCTAGCATTTGGGTATATGGTTTATACAACCCGTGATTTTGGTGGTTTTGGGGATGTTTTATTTGTTGAGTTTACCATTAATCATATTGAATAGTTGTTACCATCCTTAGAAAGCCTGGTTTCTGGTTTTGGATCTGTTCATTTCGGCAGCCGATATGGGGTATATACGGCCGATAGGGTGACTGATTATTCTTCGAATTGGAAGTACATCAGGCTACTGGAGCATAAAAAAACTGTGAGTCTGGTATGATTTTATCGTTTCCCATTCTCAGTAATATACCAATATACCGTATGATCGTATGCCCAGTATTTTTGTTTGTCTTCAAATGGCTTAGTATGTTTTTGTACTCCTTGGCTCCTTCACCACCTGGTCAGTGAAGCCAGTGATGCAGTGGTTTCTATTGAGGACTTGGTTTACTTGGAGAATCACCACACTTTCCGAGTTCTCACTGGTTAGCTGAGCCTAAGGGGCCCTCAGTTAGTTCACCCATCGGATGATCCCCCAGATGGCGCAACCTGAACCAGGAACCAACGGATTCATACTGATCAAGTAGAGCATAGAAACCAATCTCCATCGGAAAAAAAACTTCCAGAAAAACTATTTATACAATTTTTTATGTTATTTTTTTGGGGTATGAGCTCCATTGCTTCTCAATTGTCCGATGAAAAAATAGCCTGGCAGCCTGGGGGTATACCCTTCGGAGACGCCCAAAAATCAGTTCCGGGATGGTACCCATCTTCGACAAAGTGTAGTTGATAATAGTTGGGTGTATATATATATATATATGACGCAAAAATGTCAGGTCGCCAATATATATATATATAACATATATATATATATATAAATATTTAGATCCCATGATACAATATCTATAGTTGGTATATAGTTGGTTGTATTATATCAGATTATATCCCATGATACAATATTTTAAGCCCCTATTTGATATCCCATGAAATCGATTTGAGGTCGCTTCCCGCGCAGGTCGCCGTTTGCGCCGGGACTCTGCAGCTCGACGGCTCGGGGTTTCCACTGGAACTGGGCGGAAAAGTGACTGGGTGCTGATCTTTTGAAGATCCTTTGGTCTACCCTCTGGTAAACTAACATAGCTATTGAAAATGGCCATTTATAGTTGATTTTCCCATTAAAAATTGTGATTTTCAATAGCTATGTTAAATTACCAGAGGGTATATCAACTATACTATACTATACTATACTATACTGACCATGAAGATCTTTTGGGTGATAGGTGGTTTCTAATTTGACATTTTGGACTGAGCCTAAGAATCGGAATGATCATCTAAACTCCATGAACTATAATATATCTACCCATTGCTACATCCGATTTTTTAGGTGGCAATGAGTCAAAACCAAACAAAACACCGTTTTTTCAGGGTACTTAAGGGTACCCGTATCCCTAGCCGTTCTGAACGCCGGTAGAGCTGGATGTTTCTTCCCCAAAATATCGTTTTATAGGGGATGATCCATGATGATCCTCCTGTGAACCATCAGTGATGCACCCAGGATGGAGTTTTTTCTTCACATTCCTAGGGCAGGTGGTTGACCTGGCTGACCTGGTTGAGCTTCCGAGCTTCAGAGCTCAGCAAGCCAAGGGCAGGTGGCAAGAAAAGATATGGCTGGTGTTCCTGGTCCAGCCATTGTTCCCGGAAATTCAGATGGAAAACCTGAAGGCTTTTGAACACCACTGGAGCTGTGGATGACCTGACTCGTTCGTGGACCCAAACCATCCAACCCCAGAACAAACTTGCCTTTTAAGCTCACTGGAGGAGATTCCAGACAGTTGAAATGTTGAAAATTGTTTTACATGTAGCTGGACAAGGGAAAAGCCTTTCATCATCGTCCTGTAGATAGAATGTCCTCCACCTACAGATTCCCTTCAAATCTCACAGTATTTTCCGGGCTTCGGGTGGTGTGTCCTTTCGCCCTATGTGACTGGGTCCAAGTTCCCAGTATCAGTTGCTGTAACGGCTCCTACATCATACAATAAGAGTGAGAATCGGTGAGAATCCTCCAAGGCGAAGGATGAGAATCCGAGTTGGATTCGGAGGTGAAGACATGTGAAGACACACCCTTTTTTTTGATCCAAATGATCCCAGGAAAATATGAGATTTTTCACACGACAGAAACCCTGGTTTAGGTAAATCGTATGGAATCTATTCAATAAATTGGTGTCCCATGAATGGGGTGTATTCAACTTAAAAATCCATCCCCGCTACTATTAAACAGCCCCTAAATGATCCCAAATAATCCCAAATATATGATTTCATCCCCTACATCCAACATGGTTTAAGGGGGTGTTTAACATGAACAGGGGAATGGATTATTCGGGAGAGTGGCTCATTTATGATTTCTTATCCCATTTGTTCGTTTAGCGGCGGGTATTGGCGTATTAACCATTATTAACCGCTCTTATTAACCATTACATATTCTCAATTACTAATCATTCTCACCATTACTGTACCCATTACTAATCATTAATATATATATATATATATATCTGTATAAGATTATTAATCATTCTCATTCTCACCATTATGACACATTACTGACCGTTCTTAACCATTCTTAACCATTCTCACCACTATTCCCAATTACTAACCACTGTCAACCATTATAGCAACCATTATTCCCCATTACTAACCATTATTTCCCATTATTTCCCATTATTTCCCATTATTTTCCATTATTTTCCATTATGTTCCATTATTAAACACTATTAATTAATATATTAATCATTATTACCCCAAACTAACCAGTACTAACCAGTACTAACCAGTACTAACCAGTACTAACCGACCGTTAACCATGATAAAAAACCACCGTCACTTTCAGGACGGCGAACAAAATTTACCCATCCCCAGCTGCGGTCGCTTTTTCGAGGATTTGTGTCCTGCCCTTCACATGGCTTCGATCGCTGCAGGCGAACGTCGCTGCCGTGATTTTTGTGGTTAGTAGTGGTTAACAATGGTGATTTGTCAGCCGGACCAGGTTTCGTTGCGGATTTTTCCATGGTGATTAAACATGGCAGACTTGTCATCTTAGGTGATTCATGGTAATGATATGTTAATGATGTTAATTGAACATTTTTTGATGTGATGTCTAATATATGTTGTTTAACCATAGGTGATTTGATGGGATTAAATGGTGAATTAATGGTGATTCATATTCTGAATTGATTTTGTGGTTTCTTTTTCGGGTGATGCAATGTTGATATAATGGTGGTCAAGCCAGCATGTTGTTGATATCTCATTATATTGTCTTTGTTTTTCCTCATAATTTCTTATGTATGACGATTCTTATTGGTCTGTTTAGCCACGCTTACCCTCTGGTAATTTAACATAGCTATGGAACATTATCATTTTCAATCGGTATATCATCTATAAATAATTGTTCCACTGGACAGTTTCCATTCGCTTGATACAACCATAATAGTTCTATACGCCATAACCCGGAAAAAGAGTTCATTGTTATATTACTTGCCAATACATTTCATGGCTATGAACCATTCTTAACAACAAGAAACACCAAACAACTCACCGCTTTTGCGGAGGTGCTGACTGTCCCAGTGCTCATGTCCAACGTGGTGCTCTTGAGCCCTGGCAACGGCAGGAAATGGGGGTTCTTTAATGTCTTGAATAAGGGATCCCCAAGTCACCATGAGTAAGGGATCCCCAAGTCACCATGGGAAACAGTACTAAACTGGTCATAAATGGTCTAGTCGGACTTGGATGACTGGGAGCCTCATTGAGTTGGCAGATGATCTTTCTTTGTGTTGGTTGGGGATTTACTGTAATAGAGGGAAAAATTGAGAGCTGGACCCTGTAATCAAACATGGCTAGCTGGGAAATCCCCCCAACTAGCCATGAACTCCAGCAAGCCATATGACTGATGAAACCGGAGGGTACTTGGTAAAATTGATAAAATCTTCCAAAAATGGACATTGGTAACTGGTTGGTGGTTTCAAACATTTTTTATTTTCCATTTCATATATGGGATAATCCTTCCCATTGACTAATATTTTTCAGAGGGGTTGAAACCACCAACCAGGTAATGATCTAATTGGCAAATCTGTTTCTGACCATTGGTCCAATTTTCACTAGGAAGATGATTGTATACATACGGGATTTTAAGGGTATCCTATTTTGGACAACCCCAAGTTCCAAGAACGGTTTAAGTTTTTGCGCTTGGGGATTTTGGGGTTTGGATTTTGAGATGTTTGTTTGAACCACAGCCATTTGATTCGCTTGTTCGAGGTTCAAAAGATGGAATGCCACCTACAATCTCAATTCACGTCCCATCCAAGAAACCCCTTGCCGCATGTAGAACCTTTTCGGAATATCTGAAATGTCAAAAAGTGGTTCGCAAAGCTCGCTGGTTGTTTGATTTTCGCCCAGTTGGACCCCAGTTGGATCAGATCCGGTCCTGGATCCGCGGAGGAAACGGTGAATAGATCATACCCGCTGGTAAACATACAAAAAGCTATTGAAAATGGCCAAATGGCTATAGAAAATTATAGAAATAGTGGAATTTCCCATTAGCATGGTGATTTTAACCAGTTCGTTATGTGGCTGTTTACCAGAGGGTAATATATCCATGATCCATCCATTTTTCACATCTCCAATCAACATTTCAGGTTCCAAACCAAAAAATATCTCTTAACTTGGGTATATATCACATCAAATCCCCATGATTCATGGTTATATCAAGAATGTCAATACGCTCCGGTGTCATCAGTCACATGGTTTGCGGGAAAATCCCCTAGCTATACTTCGATGATTTCCCAGCTAAAAACTTCCAGCCTAGTTCGTGGATTCCTCAGTCAGCCATGTTTGATTTCCGGTGTGGGTATAATCCCTATTTTTCCACGATTTTCCCATAGTTTTCCACATGTTTTCCAGAGTTTTCCTATATCTCCCCTAGTTTTCCTATATTTTCCTATAGTTTTGCTATATTTTCCCATATTTTCCTATAGTTTTCCATAGCTTCCCCATTTTTCCCATAGTTTTCCGATGTTTTTTTCCATCGTATTTCGCCTCACAACGAACGCCCGGCCCAGGTGCGGCATCTCATGGGTTTATTACTGCGGCTTTGTACAGCTAGGCGCGTTATTCAATGGCCATGGATGGAAGCTACAGCTAGGCGCCATAGCTGGGGATATGCCTCCAAAAACAGGCCAGGCCTCATATTCCTCGGGGTTTGACTGAACATGGTGTATACCCCCAAATGTTTCTTTTAAAAACGGGAAGATGATGATAAAAAAATGGATTCAGAGGTACCATATGTTCAGACGAACCCACATCACTATCCCTAACAACATATCAAAGGATAGATTAGTCATGATTAGTCTGATTTTGGATGATTGGGGGTACCCAATCATAACTTAGGAAATTCGGAAACCCCCATATCAATGGGAGATCTTCAGGATCCTAAAAGAAGGTACCAGGTACCATATGAGGCCATATTTTGGGGGTATATCCTCTGAAATTTGGCCCAAAAACATAGGCCTTATATATGTTAGGTACCTCCAATCAGTCGCTTCCTAAATGAGCAGTGTTCAAATTCCCTCTATCATTCCAAACTGGTTGGTTTTTTTTTGGGATTCCCCGTTCTTGGATTATGAAATAATCCCGTATAATCCCCAATATATTGGGTAGGATAATCCCCCAACTCATCATCAACCAACAGGGGTCTTGAACACTGCTCAATTGGGATAACAGTATCATCATCCCATAACTTTGAATAACTCAATAACATGATACTTGGATGGTTGAAACCCCATCTTCCATCCACAGTATCATCCTTTGTATCACTGGCCATCTCAGGAACCGATTGATTGGAGGTACCTACCATATATATAAGGCCTATTAGGCCTAAATTTCAGGGAATATCCCCAGAAAATATGGCCTGAAAAATGGTACAGTAACTAACGTAGCTCCCTTTTAGGATCCTGAAGATCTCCCATTGATATGGGGGTTTCCGAATTTCCTAAGTTATGATTGGGTACCCCCAATCATCCAAAATCAGACTAATCATGACTAATCTATCCTTTGATATGTTGTTAGGGATAGTGATGTGGGTTCGTCTGAACATATGGCACCTCTGAATCCATTTTTCAATCATCATCTTCCCGTTTTTAAAAGAACCATTTGGGGGTATACACCATTTTCAGACAAACCCATATGAGGAATATGAGGCCTGGCCTGTTTTTGGAGGCATATCCCCAGCTATGGCCCCTAGCTGTAGCTTGGTGCGTTGGGACATTTCGGTTCTGACATTTCGAAGTTTTGTTGGTTGATCCAGTTGATCCAACTGACACCCATTTAACAGTATCCATCAGTAAATATAAGCCTCACCATCTTTAAGTTGATTCAACTGATCCAAATGATTGGTTAACCTGACATGAATTTCTTGAACGTGACTCAGATTTTTGAACATGGGGTCAGTTGCTTTTCACGAAACCCTTGAAACCCTACCATTTGAACAAACTAGGGAGATCAGGGAGTTGGTTCTTAAAACGTCCAGGCATCACCCGGACCCCAACCGGCCAGGCACTCACGGCATGGCTCCCGGCATCAGAACTTTCAACTGGGCGGAGTTCCCCATCTTCTTCGGATGCCAAGTGGATGCAACGGGGCCGGTAGATCCCAGGAACCAAAAAAAAAACGACTGGGGTCATTTGTTCGAATTTCAATCATCCCAGAGGTATAGAGCTATAACCAACATTAACCAACAATAACTCCCAAGTGGGGATGGTTTATGACCAATTTACCCTCTGGTAATTTAACATAGCGAACTGGAAAATTGCCATTTATAGTGAGTTTTCCCATAAAAAATGGTGATTTTCCATAGTTATGTTAGTTTACCAGAGGGTAAGGTGTGATTCTCTGTCTTATTCTTCAGGAAAAATCTTTGGAGGCCGGAAAAATTATGGTGAAATCGATCAGAGTTCCAAACGCGTCCTCACCAGTATTTAACGTTGAAGTGGCAGGCGGCCAACCTATCCGTGGCGAATGCGGGGCCTGCAACGTGCATCTGTGTGTTTACCAGCAATCTATCCGACTTGGTTTCAGTTGCAACACGAGCTAACTAGAGTCTGACGCCTGTGAACTTCTATGACATTCCCTGTTTGGTGTCTGTTCTTCATTTGCTTTTTTTCGATGAGCAGCAACCCGTAAAATTGACTGGCTGGTTTTGCCGTGAACATTCATCATTGGGGACCAACCCAATGATAACCACCAGTTGGGAATGGTTGCTACCAGTGATTTATGATATAATGTATAATATATATATATATATGATATATATATATTATATTATATGTATTATGTATATACTGTGTAATATATATAATTTATGATGATTTTTGGGATGGTTTATGGTTTATGGCGTATACCGACATTCGCCGGGTCGAGGTGCCGTGTTCTCCTTCGAAGGGATTGGCTGCTGCACTTGAGCTGCTGGGGGAATGGGATGATTGTGAACATACCCTCTGGTAAATTAACATAGACCCTGAAAATCACTAATTTTTAATGGAAACTAGTCTTCCAACCCCTATCTGCCAGGGTCTATGTTAATTTACCAGAGGGTAGATTGTGAATGAATAGTGATTGGATCATTCCCATTAACAATGATGGTTATAATTTAGTTAATGAATACATTCCCATTGTTATCATTCCCATTGTTATCATTCCCATTGATCATGATGGTTAATAGATGTTAATAGTTACTCATGATTGGATCATTGATCATTTCACAAGATTCCCTATGTTTAGCACCAAAAAAAGAGTCCCAGTCCCATCGGGGGGAGCTGGGAACGTGTAGCATTGAAAAGCAACCTACCTTCAATAGATGTTGAAGTTCAGGATTAAGGGTATCATTCATGGACTGAACTGAACAAACATGCTAAACTCTGATGTAAAACCGGATGGCTGCGGGATTTCAAAGGTTCTCCTGGCCTCACATGGTAAAGAGCAACCATCAAACGTGCCGAATCCTTCATTTACTTCGACTAAGGTTTGGTCGACTGTAAAAAAAGCGACTGAGTCATTTGTTCAAAGTACAACTGCACAATGTTAAGCAATTTTTTTCAGAGTAAAACTGCGGGAAAGCAGTGGTGAGAACCCCCTTGACCGTCACTGCTCCAAGGTTTGATTCTGCCCATCCAATTTGCCATGCAGCGCCTCGGAAGCAGCCACCAGTTGATCCCCTGTTGGTTCCTGGGATGCCCCTGGGCCCCTGGGCCCCGGGTTGGTCCCCAAAGTTTCGATGGAGCCACAAAAGCTTCCCGTTTTCAATAGGAAATCACCTCGCAAGAGGCGTGCAATTTCCCATTGCCATTTCTTTTGTAGCAATTTTTTATGGCAGTTTTGGGTTCCACATCAACTACCCTCTGGTAAACGAACATAACTATGGAAATCACCATTTTTAGTTGATTTTCCCATGAAAAATGGTGATTTCCATAGTTATGTTAGTTTACCAGAGGGTAAATTGTTTTCAATTAAGAGATTGGAAGCCTGACCTATATAGATCCACTGAATTTCCCCCCAAATATATATAAATATATCTCAGCTTCCCTGGGATTTTGCAATTCTTGACCTCCGCAGTTGAACCTGATCGGTGCATTTTTTCACTGCTGTTTGAAGTATATCAACTAAATCTAAATTCATCTAAATCCATCTAAATCCTGCTTTAGGCAGTCTCCAGCAATTTTATCCCATGCCCCACTGAGGCAACCTGCGCATTTTCCCAAACTTCTCCAGAGAGCCATGCAACTTGATGAAATCTCCGAATTGCATATTATATATATATATATACTGATTGGTGGTTTGGAACATTTTTTATTTTTCCATATATTGGGAATAATCATCCCAACTGACTTTCATATTGTTCAGAAGGATAGGTATACCACCAACCAGTACTAAAAAACATCTATTTTTTACTGGGCCTAACTGGGGTATCCCCAGTTATCATCCAGTCATTGGATGACCATGGTGATCCTCATGGGGATACTTTTGGGATCATGGTTGTGATGGGGCTTACCTCTGGCATCAAATTCTGGGATAAACGCGACTCATGATTCATGATGGTATATATAATAATGTATAATAATAATAATTATATATAAAACATTATACAATGAGATGATAATGAGACAATGATGAAAAAATTGATGAGATAATGAGACTATATATATATATATATATATCAATGAGACAGCCATGAAAACATGAAGCCATGAAATATACGGATACATCATAGGTACGGCACGTCAATGTACAGAAATGGTCCCATTAAGAAACCCATCCACAACCAGTGGGATTTCATCCTCAAGGCAACGTGATTTTGTGATATGATGCTATGTAATATATACCCTCTGGTAAACTAACCTAGCGAACTGGAAAATCACCATGCTATTAATGGGTAAATCAACTATAAATGGCAATTCTCAATAGCTATGTTAAATTACCGGAGGGTATATATATATATTATCATATATTATACTAATGGTATATTTATGGATATCATATTAATATACCTAGTCATGGTATCTAATGTACTATATATATATACACATGTAACTTGTTTTCATTAGATACAGTACACGATTCACATTATCCCTCTAAATTCCCCTTCGGTAATTGAACATAGCTATTGAAATCCACCATTCTTAATAGGCATATCATCGAACTAAACCGGCCGTGTTTCCATAGCTATGCTAAATAACTAGAGGTTCATATCCCCATCAATCCCTAGTCCCATTAAGTTGGTATGTAAACTCTATTAAGTATAGAATAGTAATATAATCTAGGGGGTTTCCTAACAGTTGACCAAAATCATCTATAGATGGATTTTCCATGAAATAAACCATCCATTTTGGGTATCACCATTTATGGACACCCCGATATATATTTATACACCATGAATGTACTATTTGTTGTACTATACTACAAGGTGCCCCCCATTGATGTTTGTGGATTTATAACCCCCATTCAGTAATTCGATATACCTTCTGGTCATTTAACATAGCCATTGAAAATGGCACATAGAAATTCTGGATTTGCCTATTAAAAATGGTGATGTTCCAGTTCACTATGTTAAGTTTACCAGAAGATATCTACAGCCTACATTTGGAGTAAGCCAAGTCAAAGCGATTCCGAACTGGGGCACCACCTTCATTAATAAGGATATATTGAAAACATGTTCTATAGATTTCATTATCTATACGTACCATAGTTATATATTTGTACATGTACATATATATATATATATGTGTATATACATACATATATATATACACTAGGTATGAAACATATCCATTTCATGTTAAAGCCACCCAAAAATGGCGGCGAGGTTGATCCTGGGCACTTTGTTTGCCTCCTTTGGGATGGTGGGCTATGCTGCCTACGGTGGGCCGTTCGGGTCTGGGACATAGCCTGATACATATGTTTGATTATTCAAATAAATATAATAAATACAACATAAATCTATAACATCAATAACCTCCTGATAATAATTAGTCTTCTATCTATATTCAAATAGATATATTAATTATAATTGTATGGTCGATGTGCTTTTTGAAGCTTCCCTACTCCATACCATTGACATTGACGGCTGGTGGGGGTTGGACAAGCATCTCTTGGTACGAAGCCAGTTTTCATGTGCGGTTTTCAAGTTGACCATCAACCATATGGAGGTTTACAAAAGTAGAGGTACCCCCAAGTCATTCATTTTATTTTCGGATTTTACATTAAACAATCCACTTATTGCGGTACCCCCATTTTAGAAAACCTCCATATGTACTATTTTGACACGGGTTGACATTAGCAACCGATTTCAACTAAGCAACGAATGGCACATAGCAAGTACCCCCCAAACCATCCATTTATGGATGGATTTTCCCTTATAAACCATCCAGCTATTGGGGATATGACGGGATAGAACCCCCCACATCTTCCTTTTCCAGGTGCGCAAGGTGCTTGGGCATACAATCTGTAGGAGAGACCCTTCGGGAATCAACGTAATCAACCGTGTCAAGCTAATGGAGTTCTTTATGGAAAGAAAACATCTATAAATGATGGATTTACCATTGCCACGTTTGAGTACCGGAGGGTAAGATCATGAACATTGCCACGTATATTCCACTAATTCCTCCAAGATCTTCCATGACAGATCCCCCAGAGTTAAAAGCAGCATTTATTTGTGAAATCCCCGAGAAATCACCATAGAAAAGCACCATTTTTGTTGGTGAAAGCCTCATCGTTTGGATCTTAAAGCCCTTCGCCAAGTGCTTCGGACATCCTACCGAGACCCTCAACTGAAGACGCCCGTGACTGTCCAGCCAGGTTTGGAGACGAAAGACATGCAGCTCGCCGTCCAATGTCTGTCCCGCAAACGTTGATGGTTTGTAGAAATATCAATGGCCATTCCAGGAACCTAAATGGCTATGTAAGGGAATATTCCCCCAAAATATGGCCTTATATGGTACAGTACCTCCATTTTATGACCAATTTACCCTCTGGTAATTTAACTATGGAAAGATCCACCATTTTTAATGGGAAAATCCATTATAAATGGCCATTTTCAATAGCTATGTTAGTTTACCAGAGGGTAATATGGAGGTTTCGGTAAATGGGGCTAGTTGATCATGGAATCCATCTATAAGTTGGTTGATTTGGGGGTACCCCTATTTTAGGAAACCTCTATATAGTATATAATAGTTGATTTATAGTAATAGATGAAGTATGGTAACTATTAGTCATATATGGGACTATAGTAACATAAGATGTTTATTTAAGTACGTAAAATTATAGTAATATGTGAATATATAGGATACACGTCCATACATACATAATGCATATAAATACATATAAATATGTATAATATAAACATGTATCTAAAGATCAAACATGGTTCAACCGACTCTATTTTCGAACGCGATTCTCTGTGTCGTGTATCTTTTGGGCATCTTTTGGCGGTCCCCAGGTCACCACGTTACGTTGGCCCTGGTTGGGTCAGGTGACTAACCCACGTTAAAAAAACGTTTGGGCTACGGGCGTCCAGGAATGAACTGTGGCTAGCTGAAGAATCCGGGTTGAAAAATTGGGTTTATCATGGTTTACCTGGTTGGTGGTTTCAAACATGTTTTATTTTCCATTTCATATATGGGATAGTCCTTCCCAGTGACTAATATTTTTCAAGGTGGTTAAAACCACCAACCAGTTACCCTCTGGTAAACTAACATAACTATGGACAATTCACATCAATTCACTCTCTTTGTTGATCAAATCCTAAGAAAAGCCATGGATTTCCTTAGCTATTGGCTATGTTAGTTTACTGGAGGGTATATATATATATACTATAATGGTATATATATAATGGTATATATATATGTATATATATATATATAGAGCGAACTATCAAAAGGGGGATTTTTTTCATGGATTCTCCAGCTAGCCACGTTTGATTCTCCGAGGCTACTTTTGAAGCAAGTCACCTTTTGGTCTCGACATGGAAACCAGCTGGCAGGGTCTGTTGGAAGAGGAAGTATAGAGACTAACATAGATATGGAAAATCCACCATGAACGTAGATCATCTCCGGAAAAAAAACAACATCAATTTCCACAGCTATAGATTCCTGGGAAATTATGATGCCTGTCTTGGTTTTTCTGTTCAAACAAAAATCAAAAAGATCTCAGGATAGTCCCCAAGCAGCCATGGCTTCACTGAGGATCACCTTTAACATCCCGCAGAACAAGATCACTTCGTTCCTGCGACTCTTCTACTGCCGCTTGGCCCGGAGTGGATCCCGTTGAAGCAAAAAGAGACCTGGTGTGCTTTTTTTTTGGGATCCATTTTGAGATGCAACCCAGATATACATTTATAATTGTATATATTATATATATACACTGTATATATACATATATTGGTAGTTATTTATCCCAGAACTATATCCCCATAAAATGTTTGGTTAGAACTAAGCCAACTAAGCATAGAACTTTCCCGGCTTTAGGTTGAATCCCCCATTTGCCCAGAGTTTGGCACAAAAACCAACGCCACTAAGGTCTGGGAGTCTTCTTTACGCGACTTGGAAGCTGAAAAAATGGACCACAGCAATTGGCAAGTCCCCGTTTAGTTACATGATTTTCCCAGCTATAAACCTCCAAAGCAAAAAAGGATTTTCCATTGCCACAGTTGACTACCAGAGGGTATGGGGTGAAAGTCGGATCACTTTCCGACTTTCGGATATGGCAAAGTGTTGGGGTTCCATGTAAATTTTTGGGGGATGTAAATGAAGGTATGGCCTCTCAATACATCGGCGATCCCATCGCTGGGGGTTGCCACCAATGAAACCATCAAGAATCAAGTTTGGTGAATCAATGTAATTGCAAAGTGGTGGTTTCCCAGTTATGTTTGTTGGTTTATGAACCACAATAAATACTGGTTGGTGGGTTGGAACATGAATTCTATGTTTCCATATATCGGGAAGAATCATCCCAACTGACTAATATTTTTCAGAGGGGTTGAAACCACCAACCAGAATAGTTATATATAAATATATATATATATATATTTATAGTTCAATAAAGGTTCCAGCAGAAATCCTACGAGGTGAGCAACGAAAAGAGGAGTTTTCTGCTAGCCTTGTTTTGCGCCCCAAGTTGCAGAGGATTTTGTTGGGGATATGAATACAGGAGCTGAAAATCGATGAAAATCAGCTTTAAGCAAGATGGGGATACCCTCTGGTAAACTACCATAACTATGGAAATCACCATTTTTCATGGGAAAAACCCCTATTTCTATGGCCATTTTCAATAGCTAACTTTGTATGTTTACCATTTCGGGTACCGTAACAGTCCCAAGAGTTTTACGTCAAGATCAAGGGCTAACTCTTCACGAGGTATCCAGTGATGCTGTTTCCCCTCTACCAGATCACTGAAACGCATCTCGGCTGTGGACGTTCTAAGATGATCCACATTTATGGCAGCTGTATTTACAGATGTTCCGGATGTTTGTCTATGAATGAGTTGGGAACATTGTGTGGGTTACCCCAAGACAAAGGATCGTATTTTTTTTAGCCCAGCCTTTTGTTGGATATTTTCTGGAGATACATTTGCGGCAACCAGAGATTCTATCCCAAGATTGAGCGAGTCAATGCCCTACACTAATTAAATTATCGGATTGTATTCTTATTCATTTTTATTGGATCTCACATGATCTCAAATAGACTCGATACATTAAACAAACAACTATAGTTTGTGAGAGAAGAATGAACAAAATCTACACCCAGAGGCTGCAAGATGTTCCTTGGTGCTAGCACATTTACCAGCATTTACCCCAAATCACCCAATTTAGGACTTTCCCTCAACAAAACCATCCAACTATTGGGGTACCCCCATTTTGGAACCCCCCATAAACACCAAGGTTCGCATCTGGATCGGGACAACTATCAATGTGATTCAATAAGAATTATTTATATTAGATTAGATATCAGATTATGTGTATGATATTTTCAGATTAGTGAATTTTTGTAATTCATCCACGTATGTGTATATATATATATATTATCCACAGAGTATGTACCGTACACCATTATAGATACTGTTGGTTACATTAATATATTGGAATACCATATGATATGCCTGTGATATTCTAAAATAAATGGATAATAAGCATCAGTTATAACCATACATTGATATATTTATACCATGATCTTCCTATGATATTCTAAAATAAATGGATAATAAGCATCAGTTATAACCATACATTAATATATATATATTATATTTATACCATGATATTCCTATTATATTTTAAAATAAATGGATAATAAGCATCAGTTATAACCATCATTTATCCAACATTTTTCCCTCATCGTTTTCAGGAAGATTCGGTGTCTGCGAGATCAACGGTTTTGCTGGCGGAGTATCATCTTCCGTTCGGCGAACCTGGGACAAAAAGGGTGACAAAAAATGACGATTGCTTCGAAAGATGTGATTTGGGGATGGGTCAAAACCTTGTACCCCTGGTGAACCTCAAAATAGCTGGTAAATGGATGTTCATCACCCTAAACATGGTACTTATAGGTATTGATCCATAGCCATTTATAGCCAAAAAATGACAAAGAATTTGGTTTCTTGATACCTCTAGAATCTACACCAACGAAACTCTTCTGAGTCTCGGTCGCATCCCTGGTTTTGATTGTTTTGAATCACCTGATGATGCCTTGAAAGTGACTTTAGTGCAGCGTTTGCTTGCACATCAATCTAAAGTCATCCGTGGAAATAATATGGAAGTTTCAACAGGTCCCCTCCAAAATGAGAATGATCATAATAATGATGTATATATATATATGTATACACTGTATATAAAATGCAATACTATTGAACATGCGATATTCTATCTACTCTGGGATGATTGCATATTTGGATGTGTTTGAAAATAGAATATAAATTACTTTACTTCGTGTGATCCCCACCATGACATTTATACATTTTCTTACTGGCAAATCTTCTGGCATTCTATCTGACATATCTTCTGACATTCTATTTGACATTCTATCTGGCATATGATCTGGCATATCTTCTGGCATATCTTCTGGCATTCTATCTGGCAAATCTTCTGGCATTCTATTTGGCATATCTTCTGGCACTCTATCTGACATATCTTCTGGCATTCTATCTGGCATATCTTCTGGCATATATTCTGACATATCTTCTGGCATTCTATCTGGCATTCTATCTGGCATATCTTCTGGCATATGTTCTGGCATATATTCTGACATATCTCTGGCATTCTATCTGGCATTCTATCTGGCAAATCTTCTGGCATTCTATCTGGCATATCTTCTGGCATTCTATCTGACATATCTTCTGGCATTCTATCTGGCATTCTATCTGGCATATCTTCTGGCATATTATCGGGCATTCTATCTGGCATATCTTCTGGCATATATTCTGACATATCTTCTGGCATTCTTTCTGACATTCTTTCTAACTTTCTTCTGCACATTCTTTGTCCCATATCTTCCTACATGAGGTCCGGCAGGGAACACTTGGCGTGGATACTCGCGGTTGAGGTCCGGCAGGGAACACTGGGCGTGGATGGTCGTGGTTGAGGTCCGGCAGGGAACACTGGGCGCGGATGGTCGTGGTTGAGGTCCGGCAGGGAACACTGGGCGTGGATGGTCGTGGTTGAGGTCCGGCAGGGAACACTGGGCGTGGATGGTCGTGGTTGAGGTCCGGCAGAGAACACTGTGGATCGCGGGTCGCAGTTGAGCAAGGACGACGAGGACGACGAGGAGGACGAGGAGGAGGAGGAGAGGAGGACGAGGCAGGACGAGGCGGAGGAGGAGGAGAAGGAGGAGGAGAAGGAGGAGGAGGAGGACGAGGAGGAGGACGAGGAGGAGGACGAGGAGGCAACTGACATAAAATCTAACAACCCTCACCTGGCAGGTGGGGAAATAGAGGTATGCTCCACAATTGGGAATTTAGAACCAACTATGATGGGGAGAGAATGGGATATATAACCACCAGTACAATGCTTGGGTGTTTCCAATGATGTTGGTTTACTCCAATTTATTAATTTATGGCCATTCTAATTGAGAAAAATGGTGGTGGACCATCATTTTTTTAGGAGTATCATATTTTCAGACAAACCAGTTGTTTACATGGTGGCTTTAGAACGTATCAGAAAAAAGCAACTGCTTACACTCCGGTGATTTAACGTAGCTATGGAAAATGGATGACCATGGCCCGTTTAACATCATTTCGTTCCATGATTTACCCTGCACAAATCATAATTTTTCCGTAGTAAACTGTCCAACTTGTAGTGGGAACACTCCAACAATCTCCAACAAACAGATCATAGAATTGGATGATGGGAAAATTGAAACCGGAAACCCCAACCAATTTGATGGTCAAAAACCATGGTTTCCGGTTAAGATTTTCCCCAACAAACCAATCCATTGAACAGATGTTGAACGTCGAATCTGGTGCGATCCCATTCCTAGGCTGGTGATCATGACGGGAGTCATCGGCCGCTCGGTGATCATGCCGGCAATTTTTTTTGGTGCAAAGAATGTGCCGGATCTCATGGTAGCATATTGGGGTACCCTCTGGTAAACTAACATAGCTATGGAAAATTACAATCTTTAATGGGTAAATCAACTATAAATGGTCATTTTCAGTAGCTACGTTAAATTACCAGAGGGTACCTCAAAATTTCTAACCCCAAGGATCCTACCATCTGGTATCATCTGGTAAACTAACATTAGGATTTTATCGCAATTTCAAATACTAACGGGCATGGCTTCCAGAGCTATGTTAGTTTGGAGGGCATGACCGGGCATGATGTTTCATCACTTTTTAGATCAACATTGCCTTATGGGTGATAATGTAAGGGCCAGAGGACGACAGATTGTGGTCGGGTACAGGATTGATTGTCATCCACGGTCCAGATGGGTTGGAAGCACCAGCCAGAGATGGCATGGTTCCTCCTCATTTTCAGCAAAGATTGCCATTTGGGGTGTGAAATGCTCCATTTCCAGACACCCCAAATCACCCAAACATGATATTGGTGATTGAATGTATTGTAAATATATATATATATATACAGTATATATATAAATATATATATATATATATGGATGGAAGATTTCCAATTCTATCTGATCTTATACTTCGTTTCTTTCACTGGGAATCGCACATGGCTTCGCTTTGAATTCAGCCAGCCAAGGATTGCAAATCCCTCACTTTGGCCTCTTTCTGGGCATCATCGGGTCACTGGCCCCTTGCCGCCGTTTTTTGGAGCCCCGGGGAACCCTGCAACATCACTGGAAAATTTGGGGATACCCTCTGGTAAACTAACATAGCTATTGAAAATCACCATTTTTAATGGAAAAATCCACTATTAATGGCCATTTTCAATAGCTACGTTAAATTACCAGAGGGTATCATGGCAACAAATTCTGTTAACCCCTAACTTTTGCTGTTAAAACCCAGCCTTTTTTTAAAGGTGAACACCTTTACCGAGTTTTGCAGTCACCATGTTTAGATATATAGGTCTTTATAGGTATATATGTTCTGATTCTTTGGTCCATCCCTTCAGGTTTCTTGGTGTGTCGCGTGGTCCAGGCTTGTAAAATTTCATCCTCATATATCCTCATTGTGGCTGGTCAGTGTTGATGATGAATGCCACTTTACCTTGGTTATTCCCATGAAATCCACCATTTCTATGGTTAAACCATGTTAAACCACCATTTGTTCCGATGAAATGATCATGTTTCATCACTTTTCCATAGGATTGTTAGTAAACAAATCCTACAAATTCCCATTCAATCCATCTGAATCCCATAAAATCACCACTTTTTCTCTGGTTCAAGCACCGTTTTTCCCACGAAATCCGAAGGCGTGTTCCATGTTGGCCTTTGTACTGCCAGCGCTGCTGCACTTCCGGCGCAAAGATCGCGGGGACGCTACACGAGGTGTGGAGGGGTGAACGGGATGAACGGGGTGAACTTTGAAAACACCAACTGCTCACCCTCTGGTAATTTGTTACATAGCTAAAAATGGTTTACCTAATAGTTGATTTACCAGAGGCTAACTACCTAATAGTTGATATCAACTATTTCACATAGCGAAAATCGTCACACAAATAGTTGATTTACCTAATTGACTTTAGTATTGCTTGTCAGCAAGTTGATAACCTTGATGTTTAACCCAGATCCCTTGGTTCTGCAAGCATTAACCCTATGATATAATCCTAGGGCTTGCAAGTGAATAACATGGAAAATAAGCCTAGGGATTTGTAAGTGGTTGTGGTTAATAACCCGATTCCGGTAGTTGATAAGTCCCCTATTTTTTTTGGTTATGGGTTGTCCCATATCATCCCACAACTGGGTGAACTACCCCCATATGTAAGTAGCAATAAGTAGTATACTTTTGCCTCATGAGTTTAGTAATTGATACCTGGTCAGTGGTTTGGAACATGAATTTTATTTTGCCATTCAGTTGGGAATGTCATCATCCCACCTGACGAAGTCATATTCACCCCGCTTCGCGTGGGGTGGCCGCCCACACCGCAGGTTTATTTCGGTCCGTGAGAGGGGCTAAGGGTGGTTTTCCCCCGTGGGGGCTCTTCAAGCTAAGAAGTTTCAATAAGAAATCCTTCCAAAACATTGTTTTTGACAGTGTTTTTCCAATGTTTCCAGTCAAACAGACGGTAATTTACACGTTTTTTGCCATAAAGGCAGTAAATCCTTCCAAAACATTGCTTTTGACAGTGTTTTTGTAATGTTTCCAGTCAAGCATACGGTAATTTACACGTTTTTTGCTATAACGTCAGTCCAAAACACTTGTTTTTGCAGTGTTTTCAATGCTCTGGCATCCAAAAACCCTGCAAAATCTTGCTATGTACAATGTTTTTTTCATTTTTGGCCGTTTTTCCATTGCCGGAAAGCTACCAAAATGACCCAAAATTCCATTTCAATACCCTCTTGCGCTCAGACACCCAAAAATCCTCGAAAAATGTCGAAAACACCACCGTATTCTGGTCTCGGTGCGAAACCGTTTTTGGCCCCCCCCCCCAGCTAAAGCTGATATAGCGACTGCTATATTAACAAATGTCATTGAGCATTTAGTGTTGCTGTTGCCCCCCAATAAGCACGCCTTCACCGCCAAAGCGGTGTGGGCGGATTTTTCAGAGGAGTGGGTATACCATCAACCAGTATAATATGATAATATAAATGGGACATGTCCCATGACTATCATGAGAAAATCATTTTTTTTTGCAGTATCTGTGGCTATGTAGGTGAATGGATCTATGGGCCCATCTATGGCTAGTTGGTACTCCTCTAAAAAAAGGTTTATAAACCAACATAACTATGGAACATCACCATTTTTCATGGGAAAATTCATGATAAATGGTGATTTTCCATAGTTATGTTAAATTACCAGAGGGTATACTGTAGAAAAAAGACATACTTTGAGTGCCTTGTACCAAATCTTCACCACGTTCTCCACTTACAGGATCATCCAACAAGGTATCAATAGTTGTGTGTGACTGGGATTAGTTCACCCAGCTATAATTAATTACGTAAAACAATAATAAACCATTCCCCAGTCTTCATCATTTTTATAGGTGGTATATTCCTCGCTGCAGAGAAAGTCCTCTACGTTCAACATCTCAGCCCATCAATTTAGGCAGAAATGCTTGAGCTAAGTTTTTATAGGTGGTATGGTTACCATTCCCAAATGGCTGATTTATGATGGTTTTTCCATGTTTTTCCCACATTATATAAGTGATAACCCCTTAATTGGGGGACTTACTATGTAGGGTTACACAAACCCTATTTGTGGGATGATCCTCCAAGGGATAAAAATTGAAACCACCATTTTTTCTTGGTAATGGAACATTAGGTTCCATTCCATATGATGCCATCATGTCTAATTATTCCAATTTTAATGGACACTCAGGTTCCAAACCAGCATTTTTGCAGTTGACCAATGAATTTATCATTAGTTTAACAAGGCGCAAATGGGGATATAATGGGATATCTAACCACCAATATGATACTTGTTTGAAATTGGGACACCCGAAAACCATCGATTAGATATGGGGGTATAATGGAATTTCATGGGGTACTTGTACTGTATGGGTTATCAACAAGGTGATATTTGAGCTTGTTTGAAAACGAGGTATATCATGGTTTATCGCTAAATGGCAAGTTTAGATTTTGAACAATGTTCCCAAATTACCCTCTGGTAAGCTAACATAACTATGGAAAATCACCATTTTTAATGGGAAAACTCACTATAGATTGCCATTTTCAATAGCTATTTTGACAGAACCGGAGGGTAAACTTGGTATATCCCCAAATCTGAACATGATAAACCCCTGGATTTTGGGCAACAAACTATGGAAATGCTATGGCCCATTGAAATAGATTATGTATGATGATCTAATATGATTTACCTATTAAACATGGTGATTTTCCAGTTCGCGACGTTAAATAACCATAAGGTATTTTTAAAAATCGATTTATATTTTACTTTGCAAGACTATGTGTGGATTTTAATGAGTAGCTGAATGCTGCGCATTCAAATCTGTCTTGGCTTACGCATGTGGAAAATATGTGATCCTTTGAAAGAAGATGCTTGCTGCGGATTTGGGCTCGAAGGATGTGCTTTTGCAGCTAGGGACACATGTCCAGATGTGTAGCACAGAGTATGTCTAACATTTGGGGATCCAAACAAGCTGGTTTCCCTTCCAAATTCATCAAATCATATAAACACTCTTTTTGGTTGCGAACTCATCACTGTGGATGTTGTGTCTTCAACTATTGTCCTACTCAATGATACTCCAAAAATTATGTTCACTGTGATCAGTTTCGGGACGGCACTGAATCACACATCCCCAAACACATCTCATGAAAGACCACGAATCTGGCCATTGCCGGAAATTTGGAAGGTCTCAATCTGTTTCAATGGGAACATCATCGAACTATGGTGGAAGTTCTCAGCAAACCACGGCGCTTCTTTCGGAGGGTGCGGAGCGATGCCGCCGA